ATCTTACTTGATACAAAAAGCCCAATGACTTATTACCATAACAAACTTGAAATACACCCTTCATATTTCTCTTTATTTTGTTCAATCTGAAGCTTGAACATAATAAATAATAATAATGTAAAGTAATAATACGTCTATAAGGCATGTTTTTTAATAGAAATATGAATTCAAAAAGCTTTATTACCGGCTTCTACACAATTTAAAACACAACAAAACCTTCAAATTAACTAAAATAACCTCTGGAGAACATAGAACTACTAAATAACTACGCTCGGACTCCGCTGCTGCTCCGTGCAGAGAATCTGCAGAAGTGTGTGTGTGTGTGTGTGTGTGTGTGTGTGTGTGTGTGTGTGTGTGTGTGTGTGTGTGTGTGTGTGTTTTATCTGATCTGGATGGTTACTAATTCCTTTTCTTCATGGCGGTCATGTTTGACCTTGAACACCATGGGTGTTACAAAGTTGACTAAATCATCCAAAACTCAATGAAAGTGGTGATCAGCCATTTGATATGTTCAAATGTCTTCTGTGAAGGATATCATAAAGCCTTAATGCAATCGAATGTAAAACAAAAAAGTTATGATTGATGAAAGTAGTACATCGGTCAGATTTGACTCGAAGACAACAGGAAGGTTAAGGTCAAATAATGAGACCCCCCCCCTTTCAACTGAAAGCTGAGGCTCCAAAATAATAAAAACTCTCCTTCTGTTTTCTGGTCCAGCCTCCATCAGATCTGCAAAGTGTGCAACCTCAACATGTTGCAAGAGAACAAACAACAGATGTGACCGTTATTCTTCACTGATGCTGGTTTCTATTTGAATCTGCATGAGATTTCATTTCACACAGAATGAAAGCTACAGTTCAGGAGAATTGTATTTAAATAGAGTCCCTTAAGAGAGGTCAGGGATTCATCCTATACACCTTTCATTTGATAAATAACATTACATCTCCATTCCCATTCCCATTACCGTACTGAATAAATAAAGTTGAATCTGATTTATAATTATTTATTTTCTCAATAGATTTGTTATTGTTGTCAAGTTTTGCATTATTTATTTGACCTATCTTTTGCTTACATTTTGTTAGTATAGTATATACTATATATAGTAAGTATATTCATTACATTTGGAGTCTTAATAATAATAATAATAATAAACTCTTTCTTAGCTCCCGCCTACAAATATTTTTAAAATGTTGATAAGTTTGTCGTCAATAAAGTTGGTGTTATTTTATAAAATTTGAGTCATAATTGAATGAGAAAACAAATGAAAATATAAAAAAATATATAACAAAAATGAATCAACAATATTAAGACAACAAATCTGAAAATGAATGAATGTGGAAAATGACAACAATAACAACATTAATAAAAAATAAAAAACATTTGTGTTGTAATAATGAAATAAAATTAATTTCGTGGAACGGAGCCCCTAAAGCAGGGGTGCCCAACCAGTCGATCGCGATCGACCGGTCGATCGCAGGGAGATTCCCAGTCGATCGCGAGATGTGTCTAAAAATAGAACAACAATATTCTGTTTTATCGTTAATGTCCTATAACATAATCTTCCTGTGCCAGAATAATGCACTTGAACGCATCAAAGCTTTGTGATTGGCGTGACCCCATGTGTCGGGGCGTGGCTGGTGGGCAGTGGGCTGGGCACTAGTTAGCTGACGTTGTCCGTGGCAACAGGAGTGACAGTCCGCACACACAAGACCACAATTATGGAAGAGCAAAAAAGCCCAAAATATATAATTTTCACTCCGAGTGGGGAGGATGATTATTTTTGTATCTATTCCAATTCAAAGTCCATCTGTCTCTCATCTGCAATGCGAGCGTGGCTTTATCGAAGAAGGGTCATTTAGGAGCGGCATTTCAAAACAGTGCACAAACGCTACGAGACGGAATTCCCTCCTAACTCTGCCCTACGCTCCCAAAAGGTGAGGGACCTGAAAGGACAGCTAAATGCACAGCAGTCCATTTTCACCAGGCCCAACAACAAGAGCAAGGCTGCTACCATAGCATCTTATCGTGTCAGTCACGTTCTTGCGAAACACATGAAGTCTTTCAAAGACGGCGAAGTTGTGAAAGAAGCATTCCTGGAGGCTGCCGACGCGCTTTTTGGGGACAGTAAAAATAACAGAAGCATTTCAACAGGTTTTTGATATAATAAAAACTCAAGTTAGATACCGTTATTAATCAGCTGTAAGTTTTAGTTTGTTTGAACTTATTCATTATAATTATTGTACAAAATGGTATAAGAATGCAAACTTAAATTGATTATAGTCTATTATCAATTCAGGTTAAGAAACTAGTGTTGCTTGCATCCTATTTTAAAGGCATTTATTTTTATACTCTACTAAAATGCAAAAAAATAAATAGTTTGATTCTATTAATTTTGTCTTTTTTATTGCACTTTGGCAGCAGATTCCTGTGTAGCTTCAGATCTGCGTTGTCTTATTAGTAAGCCTAATTTATACTTTTGTAGCAACACTATTTTTATATAATGGCAAAGAAAAGGTTCAGAGTCGTTTCTTTTTTCCTGTGTCATATGTGGCAGCACTGTTCAATGTTTCTTGAAAACATTACCCACTATGTGACGTGTGAATAAACTCTGTATCAACAACACTGTTGTGAAGCTTCAGTTAAATACTTGTATGTGTGTAGATTAGAAAGAGGTAAGATAAAGGATCTGCAGTATTTGATGAAGTAAGTGATGTGTATTTACCTGGTAGTAGGCTGTCAGTAATGGCTACGCCTCTCTATTTGGACTGGTAGATCTCGGCAGACTGGCAACTTTAAAAGTAGCTCTCGGTCCAAAAAAGGTTGGGCACCCCAGCCCTAAAGGGACATGAAAAAAAAAAAAAAGAGAGAGAAAGAAAAAAGTCGGGATAACGGGTTAGTATCTCGTGCGCATGAGAAATTAACCCGTTATCCCGACCAAGATAAGTATACAGTATGTCACATTATGAAAATAAATAATACAAAACTCAAAATCAAACATGTTATAAACAGTGGTATTGTACTATTGTGACATATTTGTACTTTTATGGAGTATTTCAATGTACTGCTCCTTTACATACACTTCTTCTCCAGTACGCGTTGTTTTTTTCATGCAACATTTATTATAAAACGTCTATAAGGCATGTTTTTTAATAGAAATATGAATTCAAAAAGCTTTATTACCGGCTTCTACTCAATTTAAAACACAACAAAACCTTCAAATGTACTAAAATGACCTCTGGAGAACATAGAACTACTAAATAAAATTATAATTAAACATTTTACGTTATTGTTTTTTCAAAGTAACTCCACATTAACAAAGCAATACATAAAAATGTCGACATAAAGGAACTTAGTCCAAATATCGTGATACTTTAACCAGTTAAACCCCACAGCCCCGCGGGCGCGGGCAAAACGCAACATCTTGCAAGAAACAGCGTCTGAGGGCTTCTTAACATTTAACTATGAATGTGTCATACCCACTTAACGGGAAGAAACTCAGCTATCAGACAATATTACCATTTTTAGCAAAACGAAACATAAGGGTAATAACAAAGGCTCTGAATTAGCCCTGAGCAAAAAAATGCTAACACACTTAGCATAGAACTCAAGGTAAAATACCCGTATTACTTATCGGATCTGCACAAACAATATATTGATTAGCAAGCTGAGATTCCACAGATTCCAGACATATAAGTATCATCACTGAGCGATCAGAACTCGCGGCACGGGAAGCAAACCCAGACATCACACCACGTAGCTTTATGGAGCAAACACGGGACATTGTCTAACTTTTTGCTGTTTCTGATCAAAAGTGGTCTTCAATGGCATTAAAACGATAAAAACGCGGCTGAAGTTTAATCCATAGGTTAATCCAATGTGTCTGTGTCACTTTGAAATGATTACTGATAATCCATTATTCCATTTTTATGTCAATAACGGAGTTTTCATATATAGCTGCTATGATAGCTACTAGAGTGTATGACAGCTTCCGGTTCCGGGGCATTCTGGCTGTGAAGTCAACTTGGAAAATCATCACAGGAGATCAAAGGGTTAAAAAGTCGGGCTGATTGACAGAGTGGCAGCTGTCTGAAATCATTCCCTAATTACTAATCAGCGTCGCTGCACCTTTAAAAGCACTGCGCCTGAAAGAAGGGCTGTAATCAAACTACAGAGGGAGAGAAGGGAGAAGGAGAGGAATCCTCCACAATCCTCCATTACAAACTAAAATGGGTAATGTCATGTCTTCGGCCATCCAAAACGACATGTTTCTCAGAATTGAAGGGGAAAACGTGACAAAAGCATTGTACACACACTAAAACCTATCAATGTCGTTTAATTAACAAGGATAATCTGGTGTTTTTGAAGAGAAAAGCAAGCACACCCTGGTTTAGTGGTTCTGTCCTGGAGAGATGATCATTTGACAAAATACAGTTACTCAAGTACATCTTCGATCTTCACAAATCAGTTATGAGTCTTCAAACAAATCACGCTCAATTTAAGGCGGGGCCTCTCAGATGACGCACACCTGCACACTTGCTAGCCTGTTCCATTCTTCGTTCTCCGAATGCCAGGAAGGATTCTTGCCTAGCTTCTGAAGCAAAGAGTGACGCACACAGCTGGGACAGAGCGTTTGGTGACGTTCAGGATTATAAAGTTGGACAACTGTCTCTGTTGTTGGAAACTCACCTAAAATGTTTTATGGCATATTCAATGGAAAAGATGCAATGAAACAAATGAGAAAAATGAACTAGATCAGAATCACTCTCTCTTTTGTCTGCAGATCTGTTCTGTGTCGTGCAGATCTGTTCTGTGTCGTGCAGATCTGTTCTGTGTCGTGCAGATCTGTTCTGTGTCGTGCAGATCTGTTCTGTGTCGTGCAGATCTGTTCTGTGTCGTGCAGATCTGTTCTGTGTCGTGCAGATCTGTTCTATGTCGTGCAGATCTGTGTTCTCAGCATCAAAGCATACACTCCTGCATACCATCTCACACACACACACCCTCTCACACACACCCTCTCACACACACCCTCTGTGTTTCAGTGTCAGCACGCAGTTTCATCTCTCAGAGAAACTCTCAAAACTGAAGATGGGGAAAATTAACGGATGCATCAAATGCCTCTTTATCTACTTCAATGTGGTGTTTGCAGTGAGTACAAACTTTTATGATTATTATTGCTCCTTTTTCTCAATGTTGTTTTGTGTTTGGGCTAAAAGAGAAAAAAGAGAGAAAAAAAGACTGGAATACGAAAACCCAAGTTAAATATTTAATAATAATTGTCTGTGTTTAAAAATCATTATTTATACAAATAGTTAAATATGCTACAAAATGAAGACTGCAAGAAGTCACAACACTTTGATAAAACTTTTTTTTTAAATTATTTCACTTGTTATTAAACAAAGATGGGGTTTTATCTTGTTGGGACCAGAAAATCAATTTTAACCCAAGAAATCAGGAATTCATTTTGATTATGATGAAGAAAACCAGAAAAGTTAGAGATTTGCTCGAAAGAAATACAAATATATATCTTTTCAGATGTTATTTGGTTTATCGGTGGCGAACCGTGTCTATCACAACTGGACCTTCTGTAGACACAAACACACCCCCCGCCACCGCCGCCGCCCCACCCGCCGTTATAATGTCCGTCTTTTCACTGAATTGTCGTCTTGAAAAGGGTACTGACAAGAATTCCGGAACAACATCATCTTCACCTGTTGCACTTTCCATTTCAACGTTAAAAACAATAAAAAGGCAGATGAATTGCTTCGTCGCATTCATCTAGATCAGGGGTGTCAAACTCAAGGCCCGGGGGCCAAATCCGGCCCGTGACTTCATTTTCTGTGGCTCCACAAGAGCTCTGAAAGAATATGATATGTTTATTATACGGTTACATGATGATTTACAGAAGCACATTGCCCATAAACTACATGTCCCACAATGCATCTCAAAATATGCCTTTTTTCTTAGAATGTGCCTTTTTCTCAGAATTTGACTCTTCTTTTTAAAATGTCACTTTTTGTTCAAAATCTTACTTTAAAAAAAAAAATCACTTCCTTTTTTAAAGATGTCACTTGTTTTTTTAAATGTCACTTCAAGGTTCCTTATTTTGTCATACGAACATAGCTACAGTGTAGTTATGCCGATGAAAATCTTAGGTCACAGGCTTCTCCAACAGAGCAACACAATAACAGATAAACAGAAAAATATAGTGCAAGTAAATAGTAAATAGTAAATGCAAAAAGAAAAATAGTTTAAAAAAGTGAAATAGTGAAATAGTGCAATAAGAGTCTATATGCAAGTTATTGGAATGATATATTAGATAAATAGATAAATAATTACTAAGTAGCAGATTAATGTTATGGATGTTGTTTCAGCAGTTCAGTTGTTTAACTTGTGACATTCTCACTGAAGAGACTTGCAATTATTTGCCCCAGACTTCTGCTTTCAGACGTAGCTAATTATGAAGTTATTACCCTACAGTATCTGATAATAATCCAATGCAGAGGCAATAATTTAATATAATACATTATTTTATATATATATTTATATATGTATTCTTATATAGTCTTAAAGTTACAACCGGCCCTTTGAGTGCAGCCATAATGCTAATGTAGCCCGCGATTAAATTGAGTTTGACACCCCTGATCTAGATCCTCTGTCTCGAGCCAGTGAACTACCGGGCCCTCTAGACTCTTGAGTACCCTGGAACCGAGGGGAACTCTGAAAGAATACTGCTATGGAAATCTTAGACCTAGTCAATACTGTGGAGATATACAATTAGAATGATCAATCAATAAACTGGTGAAACAAACAGAGTTGTCTTTTTGGTTCTTTATTCGAAGCGCTTCGAAGGTACAAGTCTCACAGAGTACAGAGTATTCTGCAAGAGTGCACACAGAGAGAAGTGTGTGTGTAAGTTGTATAGGATCTTGACAGTTCAACAACACTTCATCACCTGTCACTGTTACTGGGCTGGAAAGAGAGATAAGCAACGCCTTTCCAGAGGAACAGAAACTGTACATTGCTAATGTAGAAAAACAGGAACTTGTTAAAGACAGATGGAAGTGGGGAAAGCAGGAACTTGTTATGGGACAGGGAAGAAACACAGGAACTTAGTCAAGACACTGTGTTTGACACCCAGACACAGTTAAGGTTAATCATAAGTATAGCAAAGGACATTAACTGAATACATCATCATGGAACTACTGCATTTGGTTTTACCATATTAGGTAACATATACAATTTGCCACTACAATACGTCCATTGGCTACAAATCAACATATGATTGGTTGATCAAACTGTCAATCCAAAAGTACGCTCTCATTCAGTGCAACGGCCAGGGTATAGAGTGGCAAAGTCCCTCCCCTTCCGGTGGACCTCCATGGGACCTTATTTTGGAAAAATTATGTATTGAAGTCAATGGAGAGAGAAAGATTATCTTTCGATCCCGTTTGAATTGTGCCACGAATTACACATACAGTATGATGTTTGTCAATTTAAAAGATAATTTTGCAAGTCAAAAAAATAAAAATGTGTCGTAAAACTGTGAAGTAACACATTTTAATGAACTACATCTCTGGCCTCGCACAACAACACACGTCACCAAGATGGCCGTCACTACAAATACAGTGACTACCCTCACTGTCACCACAATGAAACACGTCCAGAAGAATGTCATGCAAAGCTGCCTGCCTGCCTTCCTTTGATTCTCTCTGCCTGGTCTTTTTAATGATTAATGTCAACCATTTGTGCAGATAGCATGAAGTAGAAAAGATCGCCGATGCTAATGTAGCGTTAGCGTTAGCATTTCTCCCCCGGGCTTAAATGGTTGTATTATAGAATGATCACACCGGTGTGACAGTACTCTTCAAAGGGTTCACGACATATGACTACTACTCTTACTGTTTAACATTTTGGGTTACTTAATGTTACTTCGAGTTAAGGCTAATAAAAATGACAAGGCTAAGGCTGTAATGCTAACTAACGTGCTAGCTACTAGCTAGGTAGCTAACTTGATCAAGCCACTCCTGGTCCTTTCATCAGACGGAAGCGAAAAGAATGAGCAAGACCCATTGCTGGTATGATAACAACCTGGTACTAAGCACACAGGCATCTTGTTAAAGTTATCTTAGCTTAGCTATCTCTTATATTTAGTGGAGGAAAACAATTGTGACATCAGTTATGACATCACTTACGCGACTCTGGGATTTGTAGACTTTCTAGTTGCGTATTTTTCATAGTCTTATATTTCAACAGTTTTACGACAAACTGTGACTTTTTTGACATGGAAATGATTTTTTAAGATTGACAAACATCATATGTGTAATTCATGGCACAATTCAAACGGGATCGAAAGATACGTTTTCTCTCTCCATTGACTTCAATACATTATTTTTCCGAAATAAGGTCCCATGGGGCGGAAGTAGATGGGCGTGACTTCGCCACTCTATTCTATCAAGGATATAGAATACCCTGGTTGAAGGATATTCTACCCAGAGACCCAGAAAAATATCTGATTGGTTGCTTTCTTTTCTAACACAAAACCACTGAAATGCTCTTCCAGAGAGCCTCCTAGACGCTCAATCCTCGATCCTCGATGTGCATTTAGAGAAATGAGATGTCCTTCAACATGGCACGCTGAAATCCATTTCCAGGTCATTACCGGAGGACCGAGGATTCGAGTAGTCGAGGAAGGGAAATTAGAGAAATTAGAAACCTTCCTAGATAGGTAGAAATAAAAAAAATGACAAAAGACATGAAGGGAGAAACACAATTTGCCATTTGTGTTTTTTATTCCATTTAAATATATGTTAGTTTATTTTCCAATTGGTTTAATTTATTTCTAAATTGTTTACATGTTGTCTTTTATCCTCAATTTTCCAAAAATCTATATTGTTTGGCACTCTTCAGCCTCCATACCTGGCGTTTTTAACATATTTGATTCTGTCCTCAGCTACTCGCCTGTGTGCTGATCTACCTAGCAGTGGATGACACCGGCTTCAGCCGCCAGGTAAACAACAACAACAACAACAACATCACAGATAGTGAATCCACAACAAGTCCTACATTTTGGCTTTTCGAAATGCAGAAAAAATGCAAATTAGTATATTTTCAATTCAACATTTTGACCATTCAGAGGTTTACAAAACTAAATGAGCCTCTAACTTTATGAACGATGGCCTTTTATGTCAATATGTTGATAAGTTTCTCTGATAAGTTTCTCCAAATTTAAAGGACCTGACATTTTTCCAGATTGGACACATTTTTTCTGATTATTCCGACATTGACTCTGACACCAAAGCCATACCTCTAAATATGAACAAAAGTGAAACATAGTTGTGTATCATGACTCAGATCCAAAATGTAATGGGTTCTTGCTTGGCCAAGGCTACACTCTTCCACCATTTTTAATGCAAATTGTGCCTTTAGTTTTTCTGTAATCCTGCTGACAAACCAAGCATAAAACCATAGAGTGGTACAGGGATGTCCTATTTCTGTTGTGGACCCTGAAGGTAGCATCTCCCTGGTTCCCTCCACAAAAAACAAGGGGATTTTTCCATTGGATTTTGGGTTATTGCAGAAAATAATCTCCAACAAACGTTTATGGAATTTTACCAGGGTTTTTTTTCCTGATGTATTTTATTACGTAGAATAAAAATCTCCTCAGCTTGTGTTAACCACAGACCTCCTTTCAGGCTAACAACCAAAAACACATTCAGAAAACCATTGACTTCCACTCCAGCAGACAGGAAGTGATACAATTCGGAGTCATTTTAAGGTTTTATGACTTATTCTTGCAGCTATCTATGGGAATTGGAACTAGCCCTCCATTGGCCATAAGAGGAACTGCTGTTTACCTTTTTTTGCATTAGCTTGTTTTTTAGCACTGGCCTTTTTGAGCTCAGTTAAAATGTGTTGATGGTTTATTTCATTGTCAATAAATCCCATGAAAAAAAAGACGAGCCACAGGACCAGCCGGTCAGTGGGCAAAAAGACAAGCAGCACTTTAATTCATTAATGTCATCTAACAAATGTAAAAGGGCAAATATTAACCATATATGCTGTTTATATTGCTTGTAATTGAGATGAAGTAAACATCTGTTGAGTATTTTATAAATCCCTAAGTTTTTCATGATGCATTTGCCAGAAACGCAGCTCTGAACATCGATTTCAGAACAAGCTTTTTATGAACTAAAGTAGCCTGGCTAAGTAGCGTATTTTTCTCAGATGTTGATCATGATAAATGAATCATTTATCTTCAGAAACACAACATATTATTATTTGAAATGTGTTAGTTTAGGATAGACCCCTTGAAATGAACCATCATGTTTCAACAGGTATGTCCTAACATGGTACGAACAGCAAGACAGTGAAAAGAAAAACTAAAAACTAAATCACGTCACAAAACAACCAACAGTCAAGACTACTACGATCACAACACAAACATTAAGGATACAAATGTGGACATTAATACATGTTCCTACCAATAAAAACAATTAATACAAACAATAGTGTTTTGTACTTGTGAATTGATCAATAGCATGTACAGTTAACAGCAAAAAAGAAGACATTTGAAAATAAGTTAAGCGTCCTATATTTTGTGGTACATTATTCCAGTCTGAAGGAGCTTTGAACATTCAGTAGAGGATGTTTTACGTTTGGGATTCTAGGTTTTTGTACTTTTTATCTTGTTTTATTATTTTACTCCTATTGTGTTATTTTATATTTGTTCCTTGTACAGCACTTTGGTCGACTGAAGTTGTTTTAAATGTGCTATGTAAATAAATAGAGATTGAGATTGAGATACTGAGGATGAAATATGGGCCCATCTGTGCTTAATACTTTGCAAAATGAAAGAAACTTGACCTTGTGTTGTCCTGTTTTTCAGTTTACGGCGGTGGGGGCTCCGAGTCTGGTCTGGATTTTGGTGTTTGCCCCCTGTGTCGTCGTCCTCTCTGTCTTTGGAATCGTTGCCGCATGCATGGAGAAACAACTCCTCTTCAAAATAGTACGTACAAGATGTGAAACAGAGGAAGAATTCATGTTGTTTGGTTTGTCTGACTGTTTTTTGTTTTGTTTTTCTGGAAAGCGACCCTCGGTCCCCTGAAAGGCGCTATTAAATAAAATAAAATCAAATCAAGGTTTATTTATAGAGCACATTTAAAAGCGATTTTTGGTCGGGCCAAAGTGCTGTACATGTAATAACTACAATCACATAAAAACACATTTCTATAATCACAATAAAAGACAATAAATTACAACAGATATTTAAAAAGAAAACACAGGGAAATGTCAGGAGTCGTGCTCCGCTCTGACGAGAAGGCCAGGGAGAAGAAGTGTGTCTTAAGAGTAGATTTAAAAACCCCTAGGGTCTGGGCCGACCTCACATGGAGGGGCAGAGTGTTCCAGAGCCTAGGGCCAGCTGCTGCGAAGGCTCGGTGCCCTCGGGTTTTGAGCCTGGTCTTGGGCACTATCAGCAACAGCTGGTCAGCAGACCTTAAAGCTCTTGTTGGGGTGTAGCGCTGGAGGAGTTCAGCTATATAGGCCGGAGCCAGCCCATTTAGTGCTTTAAAAACAAATAAAAGGAGTTTAAAATCAATTCGGAACCGAATTGGAAGCCAGTGTAGTGAGGCCAGAATTGGGGGTGATGTGGTCACGCTTTTTGTGGCCAGTGAGTAGACGTGCAGCTGCGTTCTGGACTAGCTGCAGGCGTTTAATTGACGCATGGTCCATACCCACGTACAGAGCGTTGCAGTAGTCCAACCTCGAGGTAACAAAGGCATTAATAACCCTTTCCAGGTCCTCAAATGATAAAAACGACTTAGTCTTGGCCAATAGTCGTATTTTAAAAAAGCGGGGAGGGGAGGATATTATTTTTGAGGGAGTCCAGAATATCAACCTGGGAGGCTAGAGGTTGGGGTCCAAAAAAGATAACCTCAGTCTTGCTCTCATTGAGGTTGAGGAAATTTTGGCTCAGCCAGGATTTGATCTCTGCTAAGCAGCCCATCAATAGCTGTAATGAGTTAACATTTGAATTGAGTGGCAGATAGATCTGTACATCGTCGGCGTAGCAGTGGAAGGGGATGTTGTGTTTTGTGAAAATTGAACCTAGGGGCAGTATGTACAGTAGAAAAAGGATGGGGCCCAAAATCGAGCCTTGGGGAACCCCACAGGTAAGAGGGGCTTTGGCTGAGGAGAAGGCACCTAGCTGCACTGAGAAGCTACGGTCTGTCAGGTAGGACCTGAACCATGCAAGGGCAGAGCCTGTGATGCCAGCGGACTGTTCAAGCCGTGACAACAGGATGCTATGGTCCACAGTGTCAAAGGCAGCTGTTAGGTCTAACAGCACCAAGACAGCTGGGCTACCTGAGTCGGCGGCTAGGAGCAGATCATTAAAAACTCTTAAAAGGGCTGTTTCAGTGCTGTGCATGGGTTTGAAGCCAGACTGAAACTTTTCATGGATTCCATGCGTGGTTAAAAAAGACTGCAGCTGGGCGTAGACTACTCGCTCCAGGGCTTTTGATAAAAAAGGTAGCTAGGAGATGGGCCTAAAATTTGCGAGAATGGAAGGGTCGAGATTTTTCTTTTTAAGTAGTGGCTTAACCACGGCATGTTTGAAGGCAGCTGGGACACATCCTGAGCTAAGAGAGGTATTTATAAGTAATCAAATACTTGCTCCAACTGATCCTAAAACATCTCTGAGAAGGCGAGAGGGAATGCTGTCTGAGGTGCAGTTTGTCGGCCGCAGGTGCTTGACTACATCCGAGAGAGAAGAGAGGGATACAGGCTCAAAGTGGTCGAGGACAGCAGGGCACAGAAAAGGAGCAGGATCTGGGGTAGCATTAGTGTGGGCTAGCCTAAGAGCAGATACTTTTTCAATAAAAAATGTAAGAAACTATATCAATTTAAGTTATTATTACAGTATGACACTAATTTGTGTTTCTTTAGATTAACCACCATATTTAACAGGAGTGTTCTGACATTGTGTGATTAACAGTTTGCAGGTTTCATGGTGGCGGGAATGATCATCATGCTGATCTTTGGCATTCTTGTCGTTGTCTCAAGAAACACGGTAATCTGTTTATCTAGCTACCTACTTTCCTAATGCTATTTCTACCTACATGTGACTTTCTCTATATCTAACTGACTTCATGCTTATATTATCTATATCTACCTTGATGCTAACGTGCTGTCTATAAACCCTTGATGCTAACGTTCTCTTTATAAACCCTTGATGCTAACATTATCTCTCTCTTCCTTGATGCTACATTCTCTCTATTTACCCTAATGCTAACATCTCTATCTATCATGAGGCTAACATCTCTATTTATGATGATGCTAACATCTCTATCTATGATGATGCTAACATTCTCTCGTTCTACCTTGATGCTAACACTCTGTCCAGCTACCTTTATGCTAACACTCTGTCCAGCTACCTTCACGCTAACGTTCTCTCTATCTACCTTGATGCTACAGTCTCTCTATTTACCAGAGGTGGGGAGTCGCATATTTTTTGACTTGAGACTTGCTTGACTAACATTGATAAAAGACTTGACTTGACTTTGACTTGGTATTCATGACTTGAGACTTGACTTAAGCTTGAGACAGATGACTTGAAAGGACTTGACCGTTTAAAATAAAATATTTGCGTTGTAGTGAGATATTACGTTTAGTTTTTTCGAAAAACGTGATTGGGTGATTATAGCGCCATGCGCGCAAACCTGGCAACCCACTAGACGGCAGGAGTGTCAGTTAACATGGCAGCGGCTAGCGTTACTCCAAAAATAGTGAAGTTTGGATTCAAGGATTATGTTGTCGATGACGCTAATAAGAAGAGAACAGCGGTATGCAGGGTCTGCAGCATAAAGATCAGTGACACGACCACCACAACATCCACTTCATTCGTCACTACAAAAAACCCACTGAGAAAGGTGGCGTGAATGTGTTGTGTTTAGCTAGAAAGCTAACGTTAAGTTTAAGCTACGTTAGACTTGGTTTTCAAATCGATTAAGCATTGCAAAGAGAAGACAAAACGGTAAATGAACACTAGAACCGCCAAGGGATTCCTTTTGACTAACCCCGATACTGACGGGCTGTCAGGAGAGGGAGAGAGAGCGAGAGAGAGAGAGAGAGAGAGAGAGACAGAGAGAGAGAGAGAGAGAGAGAGAGAGAGAGAGAGAGAGAGAGAGAGAGAGAGAGAGAGAGATAGAGGAAAAAGATGCCTCGTTTATTTCCCCTGTGTTATCAGAAGTTACTGTAAACTGTTGAATCATGTAGTTCATCTACTTTTAGTAGTTTGTTTAAATGTTTTAATTATGTTGTTTTTGTTTGTAGAAGTGCATCATTCCTTGATTTATTGTAAAATGAATCTGAACTTTTTGATCTGTTATGATGATAAACTGAAGCAATTTCTAAATTAACCCAATTAAGTGAGTTTTAAATCGTCCTACTTAGTTTATAAGGAAATTATGAAGAGGAACAAATTAAATGATTTGAAAATGATATCTCTGTAGGTGCTGACGCTGTTGGTGGTTCTAGTGTTAACAGACATTTAAATTAAATATGTGTAATGGCAAATGCCATATATGATTTTCTTACCTGGAATTCTGCCTTTTTGAACAGACTGATTGAGTCCTAGCTATATTGAGTCCTAGCTATATTGTCTGCAGTTCTAGGGTTAATATGAATCTAATATGATTGTCATCGGTCTAAATTAGATTTCAAACGATTAACTGTGTTTGTAATGAAGATCATAGTGTGGGTTAAATCCATTTTCATAACCACTGTCTTTTCACTGATTTAAATGCGGAAACTGGGCTTATTCATCAGAATTTCGTATGACTTGACTTGACTTGACTTAACCTGAGCAATGACTTGACTTGCTTGACTCTCACCACAGTGACTTGGGACTTGCTTGATACTTGTAGGTCAAGACTTGAGACTTGCTCATGACTTGCACATGTAGGACTTACTCCCACCTCTGCTAGCTACCGTGATGCTAACACTCCGTCTAGTTACCTTTAGGTTTTAAGTGATTATAAAACCAATGAAAACATAATTAAGAATTGTATATTTAAGCTTTTCTGCTAGAAGATGTTACAAAACTACACTTTTCTTTAAATTGTGTTTTCTCGAACTTGATGCTAGTTTAAGTTTACTTTCTTAACATTCTTTAAACCTTCTCTCTCGGTCTTGATGCTAATGTTGTTGTTTCTTTTTGTGTAGCTGAAGGATTCTTATGACACCGCGTCCCCTGAAGCGGCAAAGCCTTTCATGGAAGAAGAAGCAATGAGATTGCTGCTAATGCAACTCGAAGAGCGTGTAAATGCACTTTTAAACTCTTTCAAATGTAGTCTAGCTAACCTAAAACATGGTTCTTCTAGGATGAATGCTTTCCAATGTACGTTAGAGGAAGTACACATATTTTTTATTTTTTATTTAAGGGTTGTACATTGATGATTACATTAATTAATAAAAAATCACACTGTACATTTTACATTTATATTCGATTTCATATTTAATATTCCATTCCTTACACACTTAATATATATAATATCCTGCTTTCATGGGCGGAGTTTGACATTTGCGCATGGGGGGACAAACCTTTTTTACTGACGTCAATACATAGTCCCAACTATTGCATGGGGTGCTACGGATACAGTAGCAATAAAGCCAGCATTCACCGCACTGAGACCCCATTTACACGGGAACGTTTGCGTTTACGCACCGTATGCGTTTTCAAAAAAATCTTCCGTTCACACTCATTCGATTCATTTAACGTGTCCGTTCACACGAGACCGCTGGAAACGCTGGAAACGCTGGAAACGCTGGAAACGCTGTAGTACATATGCCAGGCCTGTAAGTGGCGCTGCTGCCGCCACAAAATACACCAAAAGCAGCGAAGAAGACCCCGGAGCATGGTTGCCCTTCTGTTTATTCTCCGCGGTGGACGGCGTGTGCTCCTGCTGTAATTCTCTCCGGTAGTCCACCAGCAGATGAAAAACACCCACCTCTCCGCCTCTTCCAAGGGACGAGGGGACCGTGCGGCAGAGTTTCCGTTAACATTTTTTCACCGGTCAACATGTCCGTTAAAGTTTAAATCTTCCGTACAAAATTGGAAAAGTGCCGGTCAGAGGTCTTTGTTATTTATTGAGTTTTAAAACAAATTGATAACGACTCTATATAATAATATAAGAATAATAAACGGAGCCTCTCTTTTCCTCCTCAGCCCAGCAGCTGATCTCTGAGCAGGAGAGGTGGGGAGAGGGAGACGTGGGGAGAGGGAGACGTGGAGAGAGGGAGGCGGGGCTATTTAATCGTTATCAGAAAATGATCGTATAGAGGCGTACAGACGGATCCGTTTGACCCCCCAGAGCGTTTCGTTTGCAAATCTATCCACCTTGGGACCCGTTATCGTTTGCGGGGTCCGTTTCTATCGTTTTGTTACGGCCTCATGTAAATGAAAGGGCTATACGCAAGAGAAACTATGCGGATACAACCCGTTTCGTCCTCGTGTAAACGGGGTCTGAGTATGACTTTTCCACATACGAACACAACTCGTCCCGTCAAGCACGCCTCATGCCCGCCGTACACACACACTCATATGGAAGGGGCGGTCTCTCCCCCCAACAACAGTGCATTACATAACTGTAAAACTTATCATAACTGTGCACATCTTATACTTATTTGATAACTACTATATCCCTTTGAACACGCTACAATATTATTAACCAGTGTCCTACCTTAGTGCAGAAGTAGACGCCTTTTTTTACGTTCCGCATATATGTCCACTATACCCTCAGGTGACAGCTGTGCCAGACCCGGCGCCCGTTTTTTATTATTTATAATCTTCCCGGGGGAGCATGCCCCCGGACCCCCCTAGAGGAGGTTAGGTCCGCCCCCCACTTAAAAAAAATAGCACTTTCCCCCTGCTTACACCTAAATGCCGTGAGATGATTTTCGAGCCTTCATTGTAACAGTCGCAGGTGTACTGTGTATTTGCGTGTGGGGAGTGTTGCAGTAGAACATTCCACTGTAGCGCCCGGTACCTTAATGGGAAACCCTACATGTTTGAGCACCCTCTATGAAACGTCAAGCTACCCCACAGCACCCCCAAAAGAAAATATCTGGCGTCGACACTGGCCGCGGCACATGACGGTTTTGTGTGCCCTCCCATGAAAATCATATGCCCTCTCTGTAGATTTGTTCTGGCGCCGGGTCCGAGCTGTGCGGTTATGTCGTCCTCAATGTGAAGAAAATCTTGTTCCTCCCATCGTTGACCGCAGCCAGTTCCAAATTCTCCTCATTGCAGAAAAACTTCTCTCAGAGGTGGCAGATCCGATAGGCAGAGTTAGTGCCAACTGGAGCATCTTGTATAGATTTGGATAGCTGTCCTTTTTAACAGTCTTTCGAAGATGCTCAAGTGCAACAGGTGCGACAGCAGAGGCTTTAACAAGGTCCATCTCTGCTCTAAGAAGGAGAGGGTGAATTTTGAGCGGCTGGAATATCCATTACTGCTAATTCTTGTAATACAATAGCTGAATCACTTGTCTGCAAAAAAAAAGCGTCCTTAACCCAGTGGTTCTCAAACTTTTTCTGTCAGGCCCCCCCTTTGTAGAAAAAAAAAAGTCGGGCCCCCCCAACACAAATAGTCACGTAATGGGCCAAATTAACATTTATTAAAATACATCAATATGAACGTGAGCATTCCTTTGCTAGAACAGTGATAATAAAACAATGCTCCATAAGTCTGTGTGGTCAAAACAATAAATACATAATACATTTGTGCAATCCCTTTGCTAGAACAATAAGTTATAATACTTTTCCACTTTGCAATCTGTGCAAAAAAATGAAAAGAAAGAAAATGCTGATATTTGGCCAAAAAGTGTGTCTTATCACAGGTGGCTGCAATGAGCCTGTTTTGCACTGCACATTTCTTCAAATCGGGGTTGCAGGCTCAGTGGCGGCGCCAGAGATTTATTTTGGGGGTGCTGTGGGGTAGCTTGACGTTTCATAGAGGGTGCTCAAACATTTAGGGTTTCTCATTAATGTACCGGGTGCTACAGTGGAATTTTCTACTGCAACAATCCCCACACAAATACACAGTGTGACTGTTACAATGAAGGCTCGATAATCAGCTCACGGCATATAGGTGTAAGCAGGGGTAAAGTGCTGTTTTTATAGGTGGGGAGTGGACCTAACTTGCATGCTCCCCCGGGAAGATTTTCTTTTAAATATTGAAGTGAAAAGCATCAATCTGGTGCACTTTGAGAGCAACATGGAGAGATCTATGGATACATCTCTCAAGACCCATTTGAAACAGAACTGTAAACAGATTTACTTTTTCTTTATGGATATTTTACAAATCACTCCCCTTTTAAACTTTATTCTTTTTTTTCTGTCATATAGTATTTCATACCTGTTTTTCATTTATTCTCTTATTTTTGTATAACTATAATGATCATATAAACGTGTGCCTCGGAAATAATTGTTTACATTAATCGTGACCAAACCGTTTGAGACCCGGCCACTAACTCGCTAGCACCAGAAGCTAACAACAACGATCTCCGGTACCGGTGCGCTCTCTCTCTCTCTCGCGCGCACGCACGCACACAAAATGGCTCGTTCCACATACACACAGAGCCGAGCTTGAATGAAACACAGAGACCCAGACGTACTTGTACTGTACTGTATCATAATATTTTCGAATCAATAATTTTTCAAATTATGATTTTTTATGATTTTTTTCAAAACCATTTTTCCTCCTGGTCTCTCGCGCCCCCCACTTTGAGAAACACTGCCTTAACCTCACACGTCACAAAATGCGACCGCTCAGAAATGAAATTATTTCAAACATAACATGATATTATTCAGATTTGTAAAAAAAAAAATGTTTACGAAATATTTGTATTGGAACAGTTTTAGACGTAGTAATGCTGTAACATATTTCAGCCACTGCCCCCCCGCAAAATCCGCCTATGCCTGCTTTATATTTCGTTACTGTACATTTGTATTTCAACATGTATATTTTCTACTTTTTTAATGCTGTTCAATTTCTATTTGAGATGTTTACATTTTGGATAGTTTTTTTCTAGTCTTTTCATTTCTCTAATGTACACTGCCTTGTCTTTTTATGCTGCTGCAATGCAAACAAATCCCAAATTAGGATCAGTAAAGTACTTCTTATCTTATCTTAACTCATTAGAAGCATTGGAAATGGATACATTTTAGGCTAAATTCCCACCTTGTGTAACCTTTTGTCTCGTATGTTTTCAGGGCCACTGCTGTGGTGTGGTCAGCTCCAGCGACTGGGGAAACGACATCCCTCAGTCCTGTGAGTGCAAGGACCAATATACAGGATTCTCCATTTCGACTGGATGTAAACCCAAACCTGTGGTAGGTTTTGTTAAATGAAACTGAAGGAACAGGTTTAGAAATATACTGTATAGGTAATCAGTCAGCCCCTTTTCAAAGTAAAAATGAGTTCTCGTGCAAATGCAAAAGCCACTTTTTTCTGACTAAATAATCTGGAAGCTGTGTATGATTTTAAGTAATGATGGTAGACATGGATTGTCTATGAGTTGTAGGGTTGGTGGTGCCATTCGAGCTTCTTCTGTCCACATAATGAATAGATTAAGATACTGAATCCTATTTCCCTAAGAACCCTTAAACGCTATGGCAGTTCTGTGTTTGAGTGTCTTTAAAACTCTAAACAGTGATTTGTATGAGGGTAATACCTCATTGATTTACAATTCTCAGTATTGCTTTGAAAGTAACATTAAAACTTGTCTGAGTAAAGCAAGAAAGAGTCATCATCATAGGACATCAAATATTGTTGCATTACCCAGGGTTTTCATATATTTACAGGTTTAGTTAATACAGTAAAGGGTTAAGGGTTTGGGATGCCTTAAATAACCTCCTCTTTACGACGTGTGGTTCATCTGTTCAAATGCATTTATAGCTGTTCTTGAACACTTGTTTTTGACTTTCTGTACCTTTGTTTT